GATGAATACTGAGAGAGGCAAGGGAGGAAATTGTTGGAGACTTGAGGGAAATCTTTGTATCCTCACTGGCTACAGGGGAGGTCCCAGAGGGTTGGAGAATAGCCAATGTTGTTCCTTTGTTTAAGAAGGGTGGCAAGGATAATCCAGCTAATTACAGGCTGGTGAGCGTTATGTCAGTGGTAGGGAAATTATTGGAGAGGATTCTTCGAGACAGGATTTACTCCCACCTGGAATTCAATGGGTGTATTAGCAAGAGGCAACGTGGTTTTGTGAAGGGGAGGTTATGTCTTACTAACTTGGTTGAGTTTTTTGAGGAAATGATGATCGATGAGGGTAGGGCAGTGGATGTTGTCTACATGGACTTCAGTAAGGCCTTTGACAGAGTCCCTCATGACAGGCTGATACAGAAGGTAAAGTCACATGGGGTCAGAGGTGACCTTACAAGATGGATAAAATACTGGCTCGGTCATAGAAGACAGAGGGTAGCAGTGGAAGGGTGCATTTCTGAATGGAGGACCATGACTAGAGGCGTTCCTCAGGGATCAGTGTTGGGACCTTTGCTGTTTGTAATGTATATAAATGATTTGGAGAAGAACGTAACTGGTCTGATTAGTAAGTTTGCTGATGACACACAGGTTGGTGGAATTGCGGATAGCGATTGAGGATCGTCAAAGGATACGGCAGGATATAGATTGGTTGGTGACTTGGGCAGAGAGATGGCAGATGGAGTTTAATCCAGAAGAATGTGAGGTAATCTGTTTTGGAAAATATACAGTAAATGGCAGAACCTTTAAGAGTACTGGTAGGCAGAGGGATCTGGGTGTACAGGTACACAGGTCACTGAAAGTGGCAACGCAGGTGAAAAAGGTAGTCACAAGGCATATGGCATGCTTGCCGTCATTGGCTAGGGCATTGAGTTTAAAAATTGGCAGGTAATCTTGCAGCTTTATAGAACCTTAGTTAGGCCGCATTTGGAATATTGTGTTCAATTCTGGTCGCCACACTACCAGAAGGATGTGGTGGCTTTGGAGAGCGTACAGAAAAGATTTACTAGGATGTTGCCTGGTATGGATGGCATTAGCTATGAGGAAAGGTTGGAGGAACTTGGGTTGTACTCATTGAAATGACGGAGGTTGAGGGGTGACCTGATAGAGGTCTACAAGATTATGAAGGGCATGGACAGACTGGACAGTCAGAACCTTTTTCCCAGGGTGGAAGTCAGTTACCAGGGGCCATGGGTTTAAGGTGCGAGGGGCAAGGTTTAAAGCTGATGTACGAGGCAATTTTTTTTTTTTACACAGAGGGTGGTTAGTGCCTGGAACTCACTGCCAGGAGAGGTTGTGGAAGCAGATACGATAGTGACTTTTAAAGGGCATCTTGACAAATATATGAATAGGATGGGATTAGAGGGATACGATCCCCAGAAGGGTAGGGGGTTTTAGTTATGATGGGCAGCATGTCGGTGCAGGCTCGGAGGGCCAAAGGGCCTGTTCCTGTACAGTAATTTTCTTTGTTCTTTTTGTTCTATAAATGCAATATAGTTCATTCTGAAACCAAGGGTCTTAAATATGAACAAAGGAAACTATAAAGAGTGAATCGGCAATGGCAGATTGGGAAAATACACAAAGGTATTTGATATTAAAGAGGAAGTGATTGTAGTATTATCATAATATACATACTCTACAGCAGATATCTACAGGACAGCATGGTGGCTCAATGTTTAGCACTGCTGCCTCACAGGACCAGGGACCTGGGTTCAATTTCCAGCCTCAGGCAACAGATCTGCATGGCGTTTGCACGTTCTCCCTATGTTTTCTTGGGTTTCCTCCAGGTGCTATGGTTTCATCCTACAGTCCAAAGATGTACAGGTTAGATGGATTGGCCATGCTAAATTGCCCCCAGTGTCCAGAAAATTGCAGGTTAGGTGGGTTAGCCATGTGAAATGCAGGGTTGCAGGGCTAGTATGGAGGGGGGTGGGTCTAGGTGGGATGCACTTCCAAGGGTCAGTGTGGACTTGATGGGCTGAATGGCCTACTTACACACTGTAGGGATTCTATGATTCTATGAGATATAAATTGCTCTAGGGCTTAAACACCCAAAGTGAAAGGTGAATCAACAATGGCTAACAAAATAAGTTTAAAAATTAGATTAATGGATGTTGCTTACAAGGAAGCCACAAGGAGTGATAAGCTAAAGGAGTGGTAGTAATTTACGTTCCAGCACAGGAGGACTGCAATTTGATAAAGAAAGGGAAAACAACATGAATACAAGTTAGTGAGAAACATAAAGGCAGACTGTAAAAGCTTCCTTAGGTATGTGAAAGGGAAACGATTAGGACAAATGTGGTCCTGTTACAATGGAGACTTGAGAACTTCTAGTGGAGAACAGGGAAATGGAAGATAAAGTAAATGGTTATATTGCATTTATCTTCATTGAAGAAGATATAGAAAATCTTTCAGAAATACTAAGTAATCAATGGGTGTTTGAAACAGAGCAAAAAAAGAAGAAATAGTTGTTGAAAAATTAACTGGATTGAAAGCTGAGCAATCAGATGATTTTGAGAGTGCTGAAGGAGTTGGTGATAAAGATTAGAAATGCATTGGTGGTTACCATTCAAAATTGCGTTGATTCTGGAACAGTTCCTGCAGACTGAAAAATAGCTAACATAACCCCATTGTTTTCAAAGGGAGGAAGTGGGAGAATGGAAAACTACAAAGCTGTTCTCCAGTTTTGATGTCAGTGGTTATGGAAAGTATTGAAATCTGTTGTAAAGAATGTGATAACCAGACATTTAGAAACAAATAATAAAACTGAAAAGAGTGTACATGGATTTATAAAAAGGAAATCATATTTGACAAACTTGTTGACATTTGTTGAGGGCATTATTTGTAGCATTGATAGTGAAGAAGCAGCGATGTGCATTTGGATTTTAAGAAGTTTTGGATGAGGTCTGACACAAGAACTTAGTGAATAAAATTAGAATGCATGGGATTGGTAAAAATATGCTCACATAGATTGAGAATTGGTTGACAAATGGAAAGCAGAGTGCAGGAATAAACAGATATTTCTCAGACAGACTGTAACTAGGGGTGGTTCAGTGCTAGGTCCTCCACTATTCATAACCTTTTTAAAATAATTTTGATATGGGGATCAATTGTAATAGTTTAAAGTTTGCTGATGACAGTAAACTGGTTGAGAATCTAAGTTATGAGGAGGATGCAAGGAGATTTCAGGAGAACATGGACAGACTAAGTGTGTGGGCAAGAACATGGCAAATGGAAAAGAAGTTGGAAAAATGTGAAGTTATTCACGTTGGTATATTTTAAAAAAAAAAGCAGAAAGAAGGAATATTTCTTAAATGATGAAAGGTTGGAAAGTGTTGGTGTTCAATGGAACTTTGGTGTCCTTGTTCACAAGTCTCTGAAAGCTTCCATACAGGAGCAGCAAGTATTTAAGAAGGCAAAAGCAACGTCGGTCTTCAGTGTAACAGGATTTGAGATCATGTATAAAGATGTCTTATACAGTTGTTTAGAGTCTTGGTGAGATCACAGCTGGCGTGTTATGTACAGTTTTGGTCCCTTTGTCTAAACAAGGATATACTTGCTTTAGTGGGAATGCAATTGGGGTTCATCTGATTTATGCTCAGTACACAGGAATGATTTATGAGGAAAGCTTGAGGAGACCGGGACTGTATTCCATAGAGATTTTGAAGATTGACAGGCAATCTAATTAAATCTTGCAAAATTCCTACAGGGTGTGACAGGGTGGATGTAGATTAGGTGTTTATTCTGGTGGATGAGTCTAGAACAGGGTCACAACCTTAGGCTAAGGTATAGGCCACTTAAAACTGAGATAAGGAGAAATTTCTTTACTTGGAGAGTATTGAATCTTTGGCATTCTCTCCCCCAGAGACTTACGGATCCTCAATCATTGAACACGTTCAAGATAGAAATCAATAGCTCTCTGGAGGCTAATGTCATCAAAGCACACGGAACTAGTGCGGGAAGGTGGCATTAATGTAAATGATTGGCTTTGGTCTCATTGAATGTTGGAGTAGTCTTGATGGGCTGAATGGCCAACTCCTGTTCCTGTGTTCAATCTTTGTTTGAAATCTTGACCCTCCACTTCCCCATGTTTTTCCTCCATCCCCTTTCCAATTGCCTGAAGGCCATGCTAACTTCATTTGCTGGGAATAATTTATTTATGCCTCTCACAAAATTGTTTTGCGAAGTAGGTGGTTGCTCCCACCTACTGTCTCTTAGTTCATCTGTATTATTTTTTGGTGGGAGACAGTAAAGGTATGGGAATTAAGTCATCTCTTCCTGAACTCTAGTACCTCTCAAAAAAAATTCCCTGCTCGGCTTTACAATACTGTGATATTTATGCCAACTTCTAGTTAGTCTTGGATTTTATGGGCTCTCTTAAGCCATATGATAAGGAAAGCCACAAATGTCACTGAATATAAAATACTCAATGGATGTCAATCCAGAATGCCGAGTTGGAGCTCTAGCCTGCAACCGCTGAATTATATGGGTTCAAACTCTTCTAATTCAAAGACACAGGCTGGATTAACGTTGGTTGAAATTTGAAGTTACTTGTGATTAAATAGCAATTAACTCTCACTAGCAAAATTCACAATTCAATAAAACCTTCGTATCTGGGGTGACACACTCCGAATTGAGTATATTTTATCAAAACTATACAATAGTCTTAATAGCACTGAGCTGTACTGAAATTATACCGAACCACTGTGCTTCTCTATCTCTATATTATCCTTTTATGAGATTGCTTAAAGCCTACACCTTTTGGTCATCTATCCTAATATCTGCCTTTGTGGCTCTAAATAACGCTTCTGTGAAGCACCTTGGGTCACATTGTAATAAATAAACATTACTGTTGTTATGATATACCACACTGTATGTAATATTTTTGTGTTTCATCATTACATGTGTTGGAATTTAACTCGCTAATATTTGTTATATTTTGTGTTTGTTCTGCAGCTAAGTATCCAGAGATCAAATCACTGATGGGACCAGATCCTAATCTAAAATGGATTGTGTTTGGAATGGTCCTTACACAGACCATTGCATGCTTCTTTGTGAAAGATTTGTCTTGGAAATGGATTGTATTCTGGTCTTATGTCTTTGGAGGAGCTGTCAACCACTCATTGACTCTAGCCATTCACGATATCTCTCATAACGTTGCATTTGGCAATAAGCTGGCAAAATGGAACCGATTGTTTGCAATGTTTGCTAATCTACCAATTGGGATGCCATATTCTGCATCATTCAAGAAATACCACATCGATCACCATCGATACCTGGGAGGCGATGGCTTAGATGTAGACATCCCAACGGATATGGAAGGATGGTTCTTCTGCACTCCATTTCGCAAAACAATTTGGCTGATTCTCCAACCACTTTTTTATGCACTTAGGCCCCTTTATGTTAACCCTAAACCCATTACAAGGTTAGAGGTGTTGAATGCTGTGGTGCAGTTTGCATACGATTTTCTCATCTACTACCTGTGGGGCCTGAAACCAATAGTGTACTTGGTGGCAGGCTCACTTCTATGTATGGGCATTCATCCAATCTCTGGACATTTCATTGCTGAGCATTACATGTTTCTGAAGGGGCATGAAACCTACTCGTATTATGGTCCTCTTAACTGGATAACCTTCAATGTTGGATACCATGTTGAACACCATGACTTTCCCAGTATTCCTGGCAGCAAACTACCTTTGGTAAGTAGAGAAATAAATTTCGGGCTCCCTGCTAGCTGAATGAGTAAATGCATCGTATGGGGTGGTACTGAATTGTACAGTGCAGGAAGATCCCTGGTTTATGACATTATATTTGTTGCGGTAGATGCGCTTTATTAAGATAACAATGAAGGGACTAAAGTTTACTGGAGTGTCCCAGGTTACAGGGAAGGTTAAATCAATCTGTGTTGCTGCTATAACAAGGTGTAGAGCTGGATGAACACAGCAGGCCAAGCAGCATCAGAGGAGCAGGAAGGCCTAGACCCTTCTACGCTGGTCCTATGATCTCAGCTGCAAACAGGCTGCTACACCCCAACATGAGTCAGCACTTTCAAGGAAACACTGGAGCAATATAGCAATATAGAAAGCACTATAACAATCCAACTTCTAACCATAAAAAGGATAGCTGTGTCCCACTGACGTCATTAGATTTGCAGAGATCTATACATCAACTAAAAGGAATTTCAACATCTTGGTTAAGTATATTTCCATAGTGGCCAGCACAAAGGGTTTGTTTTAATATAATTTTCATTAATATTATTATATTATGTGTACTTACAATTACAACTTATTAAAGTTGAAAGTGTTTATTTTTAATTTCAAAGCCCAAGTGTTGAAATTAAGATGGTTTAAATCAAATAGCTGAATTCTCACAGCCAAAATATGTGATAATTGAGGTTATTGCCATGTTTGGCTGCTCTAGCCTATTTTATAGCTCTGTCTGATATCTAAATTTATCACCCGACTTGGTTAAGAAATTATTATTGAACTTTGGCATAAAAGAAGAGAAAAACTTTTTGAGAGTGTAGAGTATAACATTTTTATCTGCTATACAATGATTTTTCAGAGGAAAAGAAGTAGGAGTAGGTCACAGAGCCCTCGACCTGTACTGTTATTTATTAAAATCAGGGTCAATATTTTATTCCCAATAATTAATCCTACAATGTCACTAGTGTGTAAGTATTTCTATGTACAGCTCTAAATGGTTAATATGGACCATCTTACAATTCAAATTATTAAAAACGACTAGTAATGATCAAAGACTTGTAATTTTTTTCTCATGCTTATATTTTATTATTGTTTGTTTAATATACCCAAGATTTTCCTATTGGCAGTGAATGCACAATAAATGACAGCTATTGGACATTCACTTTCTTTAAATCATACTTTTTGCCATTTTAAGAGGCCTCATTGTTCTCAGTGGCTCATTTGGAATGAGCCCCAGTTTCTGAAAAGCACTGCTACAAAAACTCAAATTTGGTTGAACAACACTGATTATTTGGAAGGCTGATACATGCTGCTGGGTTAACAATTGCATTATGGTTTTTACAGAATTATTCTAGATTATTTTTATAATTTTTCTTTTTGATCTTTCCTTGTTGCCACTCAAACCACATTAATGTGTTGCAAATGACATCATTCATGTTGTGATGCTAAAAACAGACAATGGACAATAAATGACAATGTTTCTTTGATAAGATGGTGAAATAGGAAAAGTGGGAACAAACTGACTTTGTTACATATATCTCAGTAACAGTTGTGGACGCACAATGTACAGTTACTTTAACAGTGCCAATAAAAAAAATCAATTTCTTTGCTTTACTTTTAGGATTTATTAAACATAAGGTATGTGAATGTTGACACTTTATTTATAGGTTGAACAATTAGATTTGGGTTTCAGGTGCTAAAATATAAAATTCAAAAGTCAAAATCTACTTTCAAACAAACTGAATAATTTCCAAAATGTTATTTCTAAGTCTTTATCTTTTTTTAATGCAAGTAACATTAGGACTATATTTGCAATGTAGTACCATAACAATTAGAGGACTAGGAAGTACCAAATAAAAACACATCAATATTTCAAAGCAGATACAGCTTTTACAATACAATGCACTGCTCCAAAGTGCAGGGTTGAAGTGGAGCACTGTACTGAAAGTGAGACAGAAATGTGCCATGACAATGTGGTGAGGCTACTGCATGTCCAATGCCAAGTTCTATTAAAGCAAGACCCAGGCACTCCCTACCATTGGAGCATGCCCTGAAATGTTGAGGACTGATCACCAGGATGAAAGCCCAGAGGAGCAAGCAATGAGCTGGAGTTACCAAGCATCCAACTGGCTATCATGTTGGGAATTGTAGACGTGACAGAATAGCAAACTGAGTACAAATGAGGTGATAATAGGTAATATGAAATGTTAGTATATGCAAATAGTCCTTTCACTGGTCACTGAAAAGAATTTTATCTTGCCATTGAACTTTGGATGCAAAGTGAGCCTTAATTTTCTCTGATTTCAAGAATCTAATCTTCCCAATCTCACCAAATGTTCCCAAATGTCTCACCATTGCCCACATCATTCAGGGGCTGGGAAAATTCTACACTTTTTGTTATACTGAGAGTGATTCAAATCTGGAATGTACTGCCTGAGAATGGGATGAGGCAGCATCATTTGAGGCTTTCAAAAGGGAACATGGAATGGGAGAGATAGTGCCAATATGGATGATGCCAACTGGATCCAACGACATTGACAGAACTAGAAAGGAGGATATACTGAGAGACTTTGAACATTTAGTATCTAAATTATAAATGCAGAATAATCTCTGGATTACTGCCTGAACCATAAGCAAACTGCGTAGGGTAGATGAAGTCAAGGAGCTAAATGTGTGGCTCTAAGATTGAAGAATAAAGGAGGTGATTATATAAATGGAGAAGGACTGCAGAAAGCCACAGCACAAGGAGATTTGGGAGTCCTTGTGCTTAAATCTCAAAAAGCTAGCATAAAAATTGAGCAGGTAATAAGGAAGCCAAATGGATTATTGACCTTTATTTCAAAGGGAATGGAGTATGAAATTAGGGAGGTTTTACTAAAAATATACACAGCACTAATTAGATCACAGTTGGAATACTGTTCAAATACTAATTTTTGGTTCACTTGTCTAAAAGAAATACTGGTACTGGAGGCAATCCAGTAGGCCAATCCTGAGTAAGGGGGCACTGTCTTATGAGAGGTTGAGCAGATTGGATCTGTAGTCATTGGAGTTTAGAAGAATGACAGGTGATCTTATTGAGACTTGAAATGTTAACTCTGCATTCTCTCCACTGATGCTGTTAGACCTGCTGAGTTTCTCCAGCAATTTCTGTTTATCTTAAGATTCTTACGGGGTTTTGACAGGGTATGTTTGGAGAGGGTTTTTTCCCCTTTATGGGAGAGTCTCGGAGCAAAGGGCATAATCTTAGAATAAGAACATAAGAAAGAGATGAGGCAATTCTTCTCTCTGATATTAGTGAATTTGTGGTATTTTCTGCCACACTGGGTTGACGAGGTTGGATTGTTATGTATATTTGTGGATGACATTAAAAACCTGTCAATCAGTAAGGGAATCAAGGGTTACGAGGAAATGGCAGGAAAATGAAATTGAGGATTATCAGATCAGCCATGATCTCCATGAATGGTGGAACAGATTTGTTGGGCTAAATAGCCTGTTTCTGCTCCTGCACTTAATGATCCAATTCCCATAAGATCATTTGTGAAAAGGAAAAATTTGTAGGCTGACAGGGAAAAAGCAAGGAATTGGCACGAGGTGAACTCGTTCTTCAGAGAGCAGGTGCAGATGTAATAGTTTCCTTTTCTATAACCATTCTATGATTCTCCATTAATCTTATTTATAACAATTTGCTCAAATCTCAATAGAAAATCTAAAACATACATCATGTAGAATGCTGAGAGTTTTGCTTTGTGATACCAGTAGAACATTGCTGAACCTATCTCCAGTTGAGTACAAACCGAAAGAACTGCAGATGCTGTAAATCAGGAACAAAAACAGAAGTGAGGAAGAGTCAGTGGACCTGAAACGTTAACTCTGACTTTTTTTCTTCACAGGCACTTCCAGACCCGCTGAGCTTTTCCAGCAACTTATGTTTTTGTTCAGTTGAGTACAGCCTGCTTTCATAGTCACTGGACCCTTTGTGAATGTACATCTCTGAGTCTCCAATATCTGGGTAGTCATTTTTGGGTATAAGAGTGCGTCAGTATTGTTCTACCTACATCATCCAGCCCCTTATGATTGTTATTCTGTTCCTCATAACTGTCAAACTGTCTGCCTACGTGGGCAGCACGGTGGCTCAGTGGTTAGCTCTGCTGCCTCACAATGCCAGGGACCCAGGTTTGATTCCAGCCTCGGGCGACTGTGTGGAGTTTGCATGGTCACCCCATGTCTGTGTGAATTTCCGCCAGGTGCTCCAGTTTCCTCCCACAGTCCAAAGATGTGCGGGTTAGGTGGATTGGCCATGCTAAATTGCCCCATAGTGTCCAGAGAAATGCAGGCCGGGTGGATTAGCGATGGTAAAAATGCAGGGATAAGGTACAGATTTGAGTCTGGTGGGATGCTTTTTGGAGGATCAACGCAGACTCAATGTGCCAAATAGCCTCTTTCCACACTGTAGGGATTCTTTGATTCTACAGGAGTATGTAAGATGTTTCACTACCTGCTTTTAATTCCTCAAATTCTGAACACTTGTAATCAATTTCGTTTTTTTTTTTTTTTAAATTCACTCAGAACATGGGTGTTGCTGGCTGGGTTAGCATTCATTGCTGCACCCAGTTTGCACTTGAACTGAGCAGCTTGGTAGGACTACAGAGTGGGCAGCCAAGAGTCACCCACATTGCTGTGCCAGGAGCTGCATGTAGGCTCGACCAGGTGCAATGACAGATTCCCTTCTCTAAAGGGTATTAGTGAAGCAAATGAGTTTTTTTTTGATGTCTGACAAAATTTATATAGTCATCAATTGTCCAGCTTTTAATTTCAGATTTTAATTGAATTCAAACTTCACCTTCTACTAGGATGGGATTCAAAGCCATGTCCGAAGAGCATTAGACAAAAAAAGCTGAAAGAACTGCAGATGCTGGAAATCTGAAACAAAAACAGAAATTGCTGGAAAATCTCAGCAAGTCTGGCAGCAACTGTGGAGAGAAATCCGAGTTAAA